CAGGGACGCAGACCCCCTGTAGGCTTCTTTCTCTCACCACTTCTTATTCCTGCTTCTGCGCACCTGTTTATTAGTCACCACCCCTATCCCCCCCATCACGGAAAATGTCGCAGCCTACTGCTGGCAAGTTTTATAACTTACATCACCAGCCACTGGAGAGGGAGTGACCTGTCCCTTGCTCTGCCTCAAGTGCAAATATCTCAAGAGAGGGATTCAGTGGCTTATCCTAGGTCAAGTGCCCATTTTAAACCAAAGACCCAACGTGAGGGCAGGGTCCTGTGTACAGTCCAGTTTGGTACCAGGGCCCACCAGGACTGGTCACCATGGCCTGGGCTTGGGTCGTCTCAGAACAAGGCAGCTCTCTTGGGATGTTGTGGGGAGAAAAGGAAGGCTTCCATCCCAAGCCTGACCACACCAAACAGATACTTTTGGAGGCAGATTGGACTTGACCAGCTGAGCTGGGGAGGGCCTCAGGCTAGGTCTGTCCTGCAGCCAAGTCTGGTTTGTCCTACACAGTGTTTTGGAAAAATGCAAATTAGTTGCCAACATTTACAAGTCAGGAGATTTCACACTAGAATCTCCTTTTATGACTCCTCTTTAAAAATAAAAATTCTGGACACACTGGGTCTGAAGTGTGAACATGTTTGTGGTTATGAACTTCACAGCCTTCTCAGGCAGGATGTGACTGTGACCCTGCCAGAGGCCTTGAAGCAGCCAGTCCTCCTCACAGAAGAGCTTCCTGTGTCCAAGGACTGCAGTGGGCCTCCAACCCTGCGCTGCCAGCAAGAAGCCTGGGGCTCAGAGAGGATAAGGGGTTCACTCAAGCCTTCTGCTCTCAGACCTGGATCCTTTCCCAGTCTTCTCCCAAGGGCTTATGACATAAATGTTTACTTACACCTGCTCTTCTCATAAAGGACCCAAGAAGGTTTCGGCTGAAGGAGCCACATACATGGGTGTGAGGAGGAAATACTCTAACTCTGACTCCTACCATAATGCTGTTATTATTATTTGTCTCTGAGTTTCCTGGCAGACAGAGGGAAAGAGGAAACACAGAGGCCATTTTATTCCTGTTATGTGATAGAAGGGAGAGATTGACTCTTCATGAATGACAAATTTTCTGGCACACAGAAATAATTGGTGAATTTAGTTGTGAAAACTAAAAAGAAATGTCTAAGATGGGATAGATATTAAAAGCAACACAGTGTGTGGGGGAAGGGGGTGGGGGTGGGGTTGACCCANGGGGGGGCCCTTCCAATGCCTTCCAGATCACCCCACACAAGAATGGGGGTGACCAACACCAGCCCTGGGTAGCCAGCCCCACACTGCTATGACTTCTCTCACCGTGCCAGCCTCCAATGTATTCTGGGCTCCTTTCCCCAAGGAGGTAAACTTCTTACATTATGAGGCTGTGGATTTCACAAGTTCCTTTTCTTGTGACACTTTTCCTTTTAAAAGAGGAGCCCGTGGAGGGCAGGAGGCTTTAATGCTAACCTAAGTGAGTAAGGGTGTGAGGCCAGGACTAGAAGCTCAGCGTGTTGTGCCTCTGTTGGCCAGAAAACTGTTTCCCAGCCTGGTCAGAGCCAGGACTGGAAAGGGCCCAAGCAGAAGCCATGTGCATTCATTAGGAGAGGTGATTGCAAGGGACAGAAATGTGACTGGCCTTGCCC